TCTTTTTTATTTTTTTATATGTATTTCTTGGAGAAGAACCATTACTTTGATATTTTCTTGACTTTATAATTGTTCTTCCATGATTTTTATCTTGTATAATTATTTGTTGCTAATTTATTCCACATTCCACAATTATTTTAATTTCAAGTTTTTATTTTTCGATCTTTTTTCATTATTTCCTCTCTACTCTATATATCAAAATTGATCGTATATATAACATTCATATTGTTTCTTGTATGTGTCCATCTAATGTCATTATATATTTTTCACTCTAGTGTTCTAATTTTCTATTGTATTTTCTATACATTTGACATTTTTCATGCAGTGTTTGAGGTCTCTTTATTATTGATATCCCAAGCATTGTGAAATTGGGAATGGAAATGATCCTAAAGATGATCGATTTTTCTGTTTTAGAATAGCATGAAAAAACCCTAGTTAGATTGATTCCATCTCCCTATATTCTCTCTCTCTTACTCCCATCACAAAAAAAATGTGTCCATTTGTTAAATGTGTCAGTCTTTCCAGATCATTTCCTTTTCATTTTTCAAATTTCATATCTGTAAAAAGAATCAAATACTTGAATGAATTTATTATGTGGTCATCCTGATCTGTTTTTGTTTTTTAACTGATAATTGATCTATATATCTTTGTGTCATGGCAATATATAGGGCTTCCTTCCAATGGCTCAGTGGTTCAATTTCAACCAGCAGGCTGCTTCAGCATCTGGAAGGACCGGCCGGGCAGGGAATGTTGGGAATAGATCAGTTGATCTTACACTGAGGTTGGGAATACCCAGGGAGGAGGAGCAGGTTCAAGATTTGCATTCCGTAGCACAATATGTCAATCAAGTTTCTAATCCTATGGCCCCTTTCCAGGCCAACTTGAACCCTGCTGGCCCTTGCTCTCGGGTAAAAACTCCTTAATTCTCTCTCTTTTTTTTTATTATATAGTTTAAATTGTAAAACTACAGACATGACATATGTATGTATGTATATATACAATGGGTTAATATTTCTTCGCCTTACTTTCAAAAAATTAGAAGGTAAAAGGACAAAAAATAGCATAATTTATACTTTAAAAATATGATATTTTAATTTTTTTTAATAAGTGTTTATTAAAATAACGTAATTTTGAAATAATATTTCTCTTAATTTTCAAGAAATAAAGCGGATAAACAGTATTTTTTATCATATAAATTTAGTTTCTCTTTAAAAATTAAATATTATTTTATGAAAATTCTTGTCGTCGCATTATTGTCAACGTTAAATAGCTTGCCAAATATGGTACTAATTAAAGGCAACCGAATATATGCCGGTACAGTCGTGCAGCTCTATATTTATAGTCATCTTCTCATAGTAATATTGTAGATATTTACCATATATAATAAATTTTCACTCTATATGGTATCGTTTTTATTTTTAGTTTTTTATTTTTTTTATATTTATATTTACTAAATAATATTGTAAAAAA